CTGCAGGGGAGGACAAGCAGATGCCATCGTCCTGGCGCAGCCCCCGAGCACCCGCCGGGCCCCGTGGCAGTGGGATGGGGTCTCTCCTACCTGTCCTCTTTGCTGTCGCTGGAGTTGCTCCGGGAGCCAGTGGGAGCTGGAGAAGGACTGGTGCCCACAGAGGCTCTCCTGGGGGGGCACAGGAGGGGACGGTGGGGATGACACCAGAGACAGGATGCAGAGCAGCACCCCCGGCACCAGCACAATGAGTACGAGTGCTCAGAAGCCAACATGAGACTCCCCAAGTGGGGATTTGCTCCCCATGGGGAATGTCCCAGTGCCCACTGCAGGACCAGGTCTCCCAACCATCTCTACCCATCCTGGATGTGGGTCTCATGGTGAAAGCATCCCCAAAGGAGATCCCCAAAACACCCCAGGAACACCCTCTCCTTACCTCTCCCCTGACAGCCTCTTCTGTGGGGAGGAAGAGGAGGAGATGGCCGAGGTAGTGGAGGACCTTGAGTCAGCAGAGTCTCTCCTGGCAGGACAAGCCCCGTGTCAGAGGTGGCAACAGGGACTAGGTGAGAGGGACCAGAACCCCACACACAGTGAGGGGCTGGGGTCTGGCCTCTCCCATCCTCATCCAGCCCAGGCACCCACCTCTCTTTCTTGCTGTCCAGAGGAGACTTCTTGGAGGACGCAGCTGGGCTCCGGCCATCACTGGCCTTTCTTCAGAAGCCCGAAGGAAGGGAGAGATGCTCTGGTGAGCTGGCTCCTGCTGCCCATTGCTCACCCCATCCCAACGCCACCAACCCCCAGCAGAGCCTCCTCCAGGCTGGCAGTGCCAGCATGGCCTTCAACAGGTACCTCTCCAGGCTGGCATCAGCAGAGGGTCCCCGAGGGGTGATGCCATGAAAGCTGGACTTGCTGGGCTTCCTGCGGACAGAGAGAGCAAGGCAGGGCCAGATGAGCCCTGGCCCAGTGGATAAACAGCTCTAGAGATGGATAAACCAAACAAATCCTAAGGAGCGAGCAGAGGGTGGCCTTGTGTCAGCCCCGCTAATGCTGGTGCCCCCCCAACAGTGTCCAGGAGTCCCCACCTCTCCTTGTGCTTCTCCTTGTGCTTCTCAGCTGGGTTCTTGGGGTGCTTCACCCCTTCATTGGGGCAGCTGGGGAAATCCAGCCCCTTATCCTTCTTCTCCTTCTCCCCATCCACATCCTTCTCCTTCTTTGGAGTGGTGGAAGGCTCTGGAAGAAGGGTTTGGGTGTCACAAGCAGGGCCCAAAGCCAGCACTGGGCACCTGGGGAGCTGCATCCCAGGCTGGGGCACGCTCAGCCTTTGGGAAGGCACACACTGATTTACACTGCTCCACCCCGGAGCGGAAATGAGCCCTTGGAATATCCATCCGAGGATATTCCAATGATATATATGGATTTGAGGAAGGGTCTGGGGCTCGGGGGGTCCCTGCCTCTTGCGCCATCACTCACCCGGGGGGTCCCTCCCTCTCGCGCCATCACTCACCCAGCAGCCGCTTCCAGTTCTTGATGAGGATCTTGGCCGAGGCCACCACCTCTCCATCCGAGCAGTGCTTCCGCACCGAGTTGACGGCCACCCCGATCCGCGTGGTCTGGGGATGTGGGGCAGGGATGTGTCCTTAGGGATGCGCTGCCCGGCATGGGAGGAATGGGACAAACCTCCTCCATGGGTTGTCCCCCTGCCAGCAACTGACCCCCTCACCTGGAGCAGCTGGATGGTCATGGTGTAGCTGGTGAGGGACTTGAGCAGATCCAGAGCCCCTTCCTAGAGTGGGGAG